ATATGGCTTGGATAAAAACGTATGAATGCCTCTGATGCACTAGAATTATTGTAGGTGGAAGAGATAGAAGATTCTTCGTTTGGCCTCATGCATTCTGCCAAAGGCTAATTCCAACTCTCCGAACATTGAAGTTGGAGGCTGTTCAAATTTTAGTGAACTTCTAAGTGAGTGGAGTAACCTCCTCAGACATTCGAGCCTCAATCAATAACTCTTTCGTTATTTTTTCAGTAAATGAGCTTTGAGACATTACACTCCTCTGATCGATGAGCGTCTCAGGTGCAGAGTTAGGTTTTTGCAGATGTCCGTAGGCGTTCAATACGTAGCCAGTCGGCTCACAACTACAGAGTGCATCAGCGGCATCCATACGTTTTTATCCAAGCCATAAGTTATTTATGGGCGGATAACATTGCAGTCATGTTTGTGCAAGGGAATGGCTGTGGTCGTTCAGGGGTTAAAAGTTTGGCAGTGAATTGCTTGTACCATTTTGGTGGGAAATATCTAATAGTTAAATAGTCAGCAATGTGGGCAACAGTGGAGCGATTTATTCGCGAATAGAGCTGTTGCCCAATCCAAATAGATTTTCTTTTGCAGGAATATAATTAATGACACACATGAACACATGTCTTTTCCACTTTGTTCCATATTGCTTATTTCCTTCACTCACGATTTTTTTCTTGATCATTTCTGTGTAACATGAGCAAGCATGCTTTGTAGTTTTCTCGGCAAGGCATTGTTTGGCATTCTGTTGATACGGAAGAGCTTTATCCTATTGTATGAAAATTTGTGAGCGAATTTTGCACCAAATTTTCGTAATGAAAGGAATTTTCCTGTGGAGACTTACGCTCTATAATCCGTATCAGTTTTCATGATATCGATTCGCGTAACAAATCCTATCGTTATCACTACCTCAAAGTGACTGATTTCAGGTATTTATTCCGAGTCGTTCGCTGTTGTTCACGACTCGTGTGGCTGCAGGGCTTCCTTCTGCTGCTTGCTTCCAGAGTATGTTGAAACTTTGCGCTTTCAATTGTTTTTAACTTGTGTGTCTTAAAATTCGTTTAACAGTAGGTCAAAGCCTTATAGCATAAGCTTGTCCCTGGCGATCCAATAGCGCAGTCATCGCTGTGGTTAGAAATCCATGCGCTCAATGTGTTCAACCAACATTATCACTATCACCAACATCATTACAGAAATAATTGTTCATGTTAATGTTAGAGAACTTCAGGTGTGTGAGCCACTTAACGCCTTGAAGGAATCCTTCGCTGAAATTTCCTGCATTTTTTCTTGTCGTAGAGATACAAACGTCTAAAAACTACACGCTGTGGACGTCGAAGGTACAGTAGCGGTCAAAAGTGTTCGCCGAAACGGTTTTTCGTGCTTCTTTTTTTTGCCAGAAAAAAATCAATGGTGGCCTCGAAAATTTTTCTTTTGAATATCCTGATTCTTTAAGACTTGAGGATATAAAAACACTAGAAAACATAGTATATCAATCTTTGGAGGGCGTTGCTCAAGCGAGAAAAATAATGCACCGAAAATCGTTTCGGCGAACACTTTTGACCGCTACTGTAATTCGGGCGGAGCCAAAGGCGAGGCATGGAAAGAAGTTGGCCTTTGGCCGGCTACGTATCAGGCGACGCAATGAAAGAATCGGGTTAAAGCGCGCGATTTCGGAGAGTAGAGACAAATCGATCGATAGAATAGGATGGAGTAGAAGTGTGAGATGTGAATGCAATAAGCAAAGGCCAGAAAGAGTTTCTAGTGAAGGCACTCCAAGAACCAAGTGGAAGCATCCCCGTCGCCAGCATTTGTGAAAGACGTCCGTGGGCAATTTGAACGCGTAGCAGCCTTTCGATTTTTCGAATTTTTACCAAAACAAAAGCAATATTTCTGTTCTTTTCATTCTTATCGTGGATAATGAGTCTCAAGCCAGTGATTTATGGCTGAAATAGAATCATGATTTTTCCGCGAAAGATTCCTTTAAAGAAGGGAAGGGACTCTGTGGAAGGCCGGCATCAGACTTTGCGAATCCAGCCAATTCAGAAGCTGTTGTCCTTTTCGGAGCTTGCCCCAAGAACTGTAAATACTTCGCAAATTCTGACACCGGCCGGAATGTGCGACAATTTTGTTCGTCCTGGGGATTCTTCCTACTTTTGGACTTAGTCCTGCTGTCACTTACCATGGGTTACGTTTTAAGTGCACTCCCGTGGTCATCTGCGCCTGGAACTACAGCTATTTAATGAAAGATCACGCCTTCTTTTGCCGCGCACCAACAGTGCGCGGTAGTTAGAAGTAGACGGTCAGCTTAGGCATCTTGCAAATGGGGCCCGGAGAGCAGGGAGGTCGAGGCCATTTCAGAAACTTGGGCGTTGTTTATGCTGAACTCTCTTGAGTTGTTCCTAGTAAATGGCCAAGAGACTCAGATAATCCAAAAATTGATCAAAAACACTTAGCTATGAAGAATTCAAGAATCTGCAACTGGAAAATTTGGAAATCGCAAAATTTCTCGCGGAAGAAGACAGATACTAATCCAACAATGAACACATTCTTAAAGGCCCAGAAGACGAAGTCCGCTAAGCAATAGATATTCATTTTTTTGAGTGGATCCCTCCCCCATTTGCGCTATAGCACGGATGAAAAAACGAATTCGACTCGTAATCCCGAGCATGGTCTTGATCTCTTCGCCCGTTTCAAATATATGCCCTACTCGCAACAAGCTTTAATCCAGCGGCTTGTTCTCATAGCTGCTGATTTATGAGTTCTGTGGAGCTTGCCGCGCTGCGTGCAACACTGCTACACACCGCCTCTCAGTCGTAAAGAGTATTTGGTATTTGAGGTTAGAAGTGTTATTTTCGCAGGTGTAACTGATCGTGAGGCAGAAATAAGGATCTCGACACGTCTAGGCGACTGTGCGAGCAACTGTTTGTCGCCAAATAAGACATCTGTCAAAACACTAAACGTTGGAAATTACGCAACATAAATAACGAAATGATAATCGAATCATTGCTAAATCACTGAAAGGTTCATGTTTGTGCTAAAAATGAAGTTAATCAAATACGTGAACTTTGTGAGAGTATCAGCTGCCATGTTGTCAAGTTCCAATACCAAGTGTTTAGTTCGAGACGTTCGCCCTGACAGGTGGTGCAAGTAGCGGCGGAGTAGCTTTAACGTGTTGCCGAAGGGTACGTTTGTTTTGCATTCTCACTGCTTATTTTCTTTATGCATTTTTCTGAAGAGATATTTTTGCACTATATTATGCGTTCAGGTGAAATGTCGACAATACCGGCTCGAGGATTTCGCTTCCGAACCATCGGCGGCCTTCGCTACGGAGCGGCAGCTGCAGTGAGCCCGGCCAGTCTTGGAGTCGTTCCTCAAAGGTGTGATTGCTTAAAATAAAAGAAGTTCAGGAAAGAAGGATCTCATGAAAGCCGTATGTACATTGTTTTGTGGAGTGGGTAGACATTGAGAGTTCGAAGGATGATCAAAAGAAACCTCGTGAAGGGTCCACGGCTTTCCTGCTCCTCTCTATTTCTCTCCCGTTTTTTCACATTTCAAGAAAAAAGAGGAAGCTTGCTAAGAGAGTCGGAGAGGCAAAGGGAATGACTCAGAAAAAGCAGGGCAGGTGTATTACTTGAGTGGATCCAGATGCCACCTGGGAAGGTTGATCATGATTTGGGAATACTGTTTTTGAGATAAAAGCTATAAGGAGGCAGTTTTGAGCCATACTCAGGTCCCTTTCCTGATATCTGAGTGATCATTATTTTCCTCTCTTCACCACATCTCCTCGTCTCGATAGGACTCTATAGCATCTTGGAGTGCTTGCGATTATACCAGCTGTTTCTTTTTCATTCCAGTCTTGTCCTACGGCAGCCGCTAAAAATCCATTTTTCTGCATTTGTCCCCTCTTCGTTGTGCTTCCTTCCGCTAATGAGGTCAACACCTCGTCGAGTGGATGTGTAGGCGTAAGGAGGGTTTCTTATCACAATCATGATATCACATAAAATAATGATCAATGCTGAATGAAACTTTAGATTTACTGGCGGTTGATTTTTCTTCTCTTATCTTCCGCGCCCTCTCCCTCTCCATGCCTCCCAGCTTTCAGAGCAGCTCCATGTATACAGGGGTGGCCAAAAAAGAGACACTTTGCTCATGACTCATATCAGCAAGCTTAATTCACAGGCTGCCGTGGTCGATGGAAGTCTTCGGCAAAATATTCCTGAAATGTCCCTCCATACGCAGATGCAAGCCCCTGTTCACTGCCCTCATCGTCTTCAGATATGACGTCCTCTGCTATCGCCGAGCTGAAGAGATCTTCGGAAGCCGCTCCGGTCTTAAGCAGCTACATAATTACTACTTCAATCGGTTAGCTGATGGATGTCTTCCTAGAGACAGTACCGTTAGATGCTCAGGGCTCCATCACAACAGCGTTTCAAATAATGTGCTAATGGTCCATTATCTGTCGAGTGCTACCTTGAGTTCTAACCGTGAACAACGATTCCATCGCAGATTCTTTTGATGTCGTTAGTGCAGAAAGCGGGTCTCATCCAGTAAAGGGGGCATGTGGTGTGACAGTTCTTGCCGGCTACAGAAATTCCAATTTTTGCAAGGGGAGGGAATCCCGGGGTGCGTGAACCATTTCGCTTAACTTTTACACCCACCCCGGAGCTTCCCTCCCCTGAAAAAAATTACTTCATGCAATATGAACTGTCGCACCACATGCCCCTCCCCCTTACTAGACCCCAGAAAGCTACTCTGATGGCCGCTGATAGGATGGAATGTGTTCTTCAATATCCACTTGAGAGCATTTGATTTGAATTCAGCAGAAGTGATTAGTGCTGTTTTGAAGGGAGGGTGAAGTGTCTTTTTTTCTGGCCGCCCGTGTAGAATGGACGAGAATGTGCTCACTGTCAGTGGTTTTTTGTAAGGCAGGGAGAGGGATGTGCCTGTCACCATTGTCGTGTCACCACAAAACATGGGCACCGTGAAACCTGCGGGCCCACTAGTTTTGTTAAGGGCGAATATCCCATCCTCTTCCTATCATGCGGCACTTTGTCAAGGGCCGATAAATGTAGCAATAGGCATGGCACATTAATCAGGTGGTTTTCATAACAGAGCAATTTCAGTCGACCTGCGTCCACATCACATCTTGCATCACTGATCTGTAATTCGTTGAAGAATGACTTCCGCCCCACAGCGATCGTTCGAGGCACGAGACCATTCTGTTCAGGTAAGTAATGATGACACTTGGCTGTTATTTGGTCTACTATGTACGAATAGATCACTGTGCGCGCATTTGCTCGCGATTATCTATGATGGAAAGAGGGCTGTGAGATTCGCCACTGGTGAAACAATTCGCACTGGTTTACGCTGTGCGACTGAATCTGGGAAGACAAAAGGTACTGATATCGTCGTGGAAGTGGGAGTGCT